TTAATTTTATTTTCAACGAATTTCTGAATGGTTGCTGTAAGAATACTGTCAACTCACATCTTAATATTCTAGACATATTATTATTACGTGTACATGTAGGTGGTATGTAAAATGATGCAACATATTATATATATGTGCATATTGAAAAATATTTTTAATGAAACAAAAATGCGTGGGTGACAGAGTCTGAATACCTTTTAATACCCAAAAATCCTTTTTGCTGAGCCGATTAGTAACAAAGTTCTAATATTGTGCTTCAGCGGTCTGGATAGAGTAGTAATGAACATTAAATGATATGACTACAATATGGCATTTTTTAATGTAGGTCTGAGTTCTCTTATTGGTTTTATTGATATAAGCCATTATCCATTATCTGTCATATTATTGACTTACATAGATACACGACTTGATTAATACTAACTGATTTAATTCACAGTATCTATTAATTATAAATATTTTGAATGAGCTCATGACAACGTCATAAATACCAAACAATTTTCTTAAAATTTATTTTAACATTATAAAAAAGCAAATACGTTCTGTTATATGGTATATGTATCTTATAATAATAATAGAAAATTAATATACTCATACGTATCTACACTCTGTTGTTTTGTTTGTCCAGTCATTCGTTTAGTTGGTTCAAAAGTAATAATTGTATATTTTTGTATTGATTTCTACAATACATATACATATATATGCATAATACCTGTTAATATTTTGGCCGTCCTATACATTGGCATAGGCAGTAGGTCAACAAAGCGAGCTCTGATTGAAGCCAAATTATTCGTCAATACTGTATTGTGATTCAATATATTAATCACTGACGGCGACCAGGGTAAAGCTACATCAATATGGAGAAGATCAATAAAATCTTAGCACAATGCATGTATATGAGCAAATAACCATATAATTATACAATACGACATGATAATGGCTTTCTAGAAATAGATTACTTGTTCCACGTGTAAAAAGCGAGACTCTTTCAATTGGTATGTAAATTACCCTTGTCTCGCGATACAAGTAAAATTTTTCCTGCGGTCATTATATGTGAAAACTACACCTATCTTATGTATTAAAGTACATATATAATAGAATAGAATATAATTTTATTGACTTATTTTGATATAATAATGACATAAAAACACAAGCAATAGTTTACACATTTTAAAAACGAGTCATATGGACCACAACTCAGTATAATTCTGAAAACATAGTTCTAGCGCTAATTTTCAATTGGACTTTATTTGTTTCTGGTATGTTTATTAGGATTTAAATTATTGGATTAGAATCTAATATAAAAAATCAAAATTATATTAATACTTAACTTACAATTCGTTGATATATTCCTGAAAAATCGTTTGCAACTATAATCGTAAATATTCCAAAAGTTTTAATTGTATATGACTGTCCCGAGCACAATACCCCAGAGTTCCTACTCTTATTCAGAATGCGAACTTGACCTATATGACGTTCATTCTATGCATTATGTCCTCCAGGTAAGTTAAATTTACTTTTACGCTATACACAAGAAAAGTAAAGAAGTAAACTGACGGCTTCTAATGATAAGAGGGAACGGGTGTCCTGGGTAACTCAATGTCCTGTTCTCTATCAGCATGCAAATATTAAGTATGACTTTTTGTAATTGTTCATAATCATATCAGATTTTGTAGTAATAAATAAAGGTTGGTACATTATACACGAACTATGTGAGGAGTTTCGAGGAAAAGAAAGAAAGAAGACTGGAGTAGTAACTGTAACCAAAGAGTAGCTGTATTCATATATCAAATTCGCTTTGACTCGCCTATATGTCGATTACCCCACAAATGCTTCGAGTATTTATCTCCGTACATTTCGTACAGAAATAATAAAAAAGGGAAACCACACCCACATATAGTTTATATATTTATATAGTATAATTCTCATAGTTTTGCTATAATATAACGGCGGATCGTGAATAATAATAATTGAATGAAATGAACAGATGAATAATCATCTAACTACGAAAAAAGTACGTAATTATTTCAAGTTGCTACTTATTAAATACTTTAGTAGATATGGGTAAGTGCTACAAAAATAATCCTATTACAAATTTTGTATTCATTTCTGTTATAACGTTATGCGAAATAATGGGAATAAAAATAATAAAACAAGCAAGTCGAATTGATCTGCAATTTCGAAATGTAAAGAATATCTCTCTTATAGTAAATATAGATATGCTACAATATCGGGAAGTGTATTCAAAGGTTTCAATTTCCAATTCAAATTCAATTTTAAAAGTATTTTCTTGTATGTATAAACATACACTTGTTTGTCTTATACCATCTTGTGTTAGATACGATTGTGTAAACTGAAGCAGATTGTCGTGGTTCAAAGAATACCATGTTCTAAGTTTACATTGTTAGTAACTTTTATTTAATAAAATAGGATTAGATATAGAAACTTTGACAGATTCTACATAAGGCTAAGGCTAACAATAACTTTGATAGGGGATTAGTGTAGATAATTTATTTGATTTCTTTTCTATAACAAAAATTAAAATATCATCATCATCTGCTTCTTCCTTATCTCGTTTATGTAGGGTCGGCGTAATATATTATAACATATAATTAAAATATATACTTTATTATTGCTATTTATTATTTTTATTGCTTATTGCTATGCTAAACAGCATTGTAATTGTAGTGAGAATGATTTAATTTAGCTCTAATTTCAAACCCTGTAGCTGCAATCCCGGCTCCGCTTTAATAGATATTAACGTGGACTGAGGATATTGCAACTGTAAGTTGATACTCAACTTTTAATTTCGTTCTAATCCATTTAGTAATGGGGATTAGTCTTAGAATAGTGATTATTATTACTGGCAATAAACCAGCAGGTTCATCACCACACATCCCTAGAAATTCAGCACAATACATAAAAATAATGATATAGCAAACTTGTATTTAAATCATATTAGGACTTACTACCTACCTAATACCTGCTACTTTTTTAATCAATCAATTAATTTGATCTCAATCATCATAACAATGATGATAATGTTAAGAATGCTGACAATGATGAATTTTATGGTGGTGATGATATATACCACCGTCACCTATATCATTATCCTGCACTGGTGCTGCGCCAGCGAATGCTATTAACGAATACAAGTAACTACAACACTATCATCCACTAAAAAACTATTACTCTGTATTCTAATAATCCTTAATTCCCTTGCTTACCTGTATTTTGAGTTTAGTGTTAATTGCTTAAAAATATAATATAGACTTTATAGAAATATGTACATTGACTTAGCATAGGTTGATTTATTTATAGAAAGCATGAACAGATTTGTAATACCAATATACATATCTACATATGCATATATTATAGAGATACGTGTGTTGCGTGCACCTATTTACCTGTGAAATTCCACTCTCAAGCCAATTAGCCAATTTAATGGAACTAATTATATTACTATCACATTGCGGAACTGTCAACTTTATTTTTATTTATACATGTTTATTGGATGGTATTGTCTTTAGGTACTACTACTATCTATCTCACGTACTAATTATGTTACTGATTGATTTACTGCGCTTAAAAATATCTTTGGCTTATTCAATAACAGTTACTATTTCACTAAATTTAGTGGGGCGGACTATATAATCTTCATAAGCATTTTATTATATATTTTAATTTATTGATTTCATTTATACCATGGATATTCCTAAGTAAAATATACGTAAACGGATCGCGTGCGTGACGCTGTGGAAAATATATCTTTAACTAGTTTTAGTCCACGTCATTTCTCGTGTGAATTGAGAATAAAAATAGCTTATACATTAATACAGAAACTGTATGACTAATTACACCGAAATCCGTTCACTTCTACGCTTAGGTAATTAAATGATAAACATTTGAATACATTGAGAAACTTTTACGTGAATACTATTAATGATATTATCATGGATTACGTTGTCTAATATTTATTAACTGAGTACTTAAATTATTCCATTTAAGAAATAGAGTAATGTCTTTCAAGTACGGTATTCATTTTTTTGAACTATTGTAATACAGTTGGCCTCACAGACCATTACAACTTCATCGGACGAAGGTAGTGTATATATCTAGTTCATATACGGCGTAATATAACTGAATTGTTGTATGTTCAATAAATATATGTCACATAATAATCTCAGATAGAGAGTGCACTACGAACAATAGTTTATAATTCAAATGATTTGAACAGCTTTGTGCAACCTGCTTCATAGTGGGGCTGTAATATGAATATTGTTGAAGCTATATAGTAGTATTCTTCTCCCAGCACTAATTAAAGCACGTTGCCGTTATTTAACCATTGTTTAACCCCGATCGCATTAGATTCTACTACATTACAAATACATAAATTATTTCTTAGGAAACAATATCTAAGCGGTTACTAATTTAATAAGTAATAGAAATAAAAAATTGGCTGTATTCCATGATGTTCTTGTCTAACATATCCATCTGCAAAACAAATTCATCAATTTCCATTTATTTTCTTTGTTGTCATTGCAACTGTTAAAATCTGTTGAAATACATCATAAATAATAACATCTATTCTGACATTCTGACACCTAATATAGTATAAAAAACTGCATATTAGTAATGTACTTCTTAAAATTAAGCTTATATATGTTTGGACGGAAATCAACTTTTATTAACATCTTAATATCGATCTTAATTATTCCATGTTCATATTTTATATAATATTTTTCAAATAACAGCATCCATTATTACTTTGACAGTAGGAACAGGCAAAAATCCCCTTAACTACAATTCTGGCATATAAAATAAAAAAATATTTTTTTTAAATTGGCATTCTCTTACTATGACGGCAATAGCAATATTTGGCACACCATTTAAAAATGGCGAGGAATTTGTTCATGCACGGCCGCTGTATTGACAGAAAATCATTGGCAGCCCATCTTAGAAAGAGAGCTAGCGCTTGCGAGAGCCAGGTGGGGTCGAAGGGAGATAATTTGGGAGGCTCCGTTCGCAGTCAGGGCACGGTGCTAGCAGTCGTACACGAACGATCATCCGATCCACACATCTCCAAACCCAATTAGGTCTGTGGAATAGTGAACATGTTTTTATAGATTGTGATAGCTTAGTGTCTAAACGAGTATGTTGTTTGTGTTTGGAACATAGGAAAGTGATACAGTGTAATAATTCTAAGCGGTTTTTGATCCCAGAGTACCCCCTTGCAAGATGTGGGATGACGTCGAAGAGGAAACTCCAGCACAGCCCGAACCTGCCCCAGAGGAGGCACCACCAGCGGACGAGCCCGCTCCTGCAGAATCCAAACCTGAAGAAGCAGAACCTCCAGCAGAAGACATCGTCATTGGAACAGCACCAAGGAAATTAATATTCAAACACTGGATTAGGTCAGTTTATTCATCTTAAAATTGATTTAATTAAACATCCCACACACCTTTCCTACGTCAATATTACGAAAATAAAAATACATATGTATAATGAATTTTGCAGCTGCCGTAGAAATGTGTTTTCTAAGTATAATAAATTATCTATTTCAGGCCCAAATTCCTTCAGTACTCCTACCTGTACGACTATCAGAAAAATTACTATGACCAAGTCATCAACTATTTGGATAGACGAAATAAAGGTTTACCAGTAGAAAGGCCGCAAGCGCAGACATGGGGCGAGCGTGCGCTCAGGACCTATCTATCGAAGAGCTCCAATTATAACACCAAGTGCTTAAACAAGGATACCAGTCTACTTCGTCACATCTCAACAGGCGCGCGATTCCACCGTTATCACAGCAAATCCCTTATCTCGAGGAAGTATTCCGTACTCGGATTTAACACAGTTTCTATCTAGCTTCGCTCTAACATCCTCGCTTTACCTGGCTACGCTGACACCAATCCAGTCGGTGGTGTGACCTTAATATCAATTTTACAGGATCTCGCTGGTGTAATGCAGCATTCACGGCAAATCGCATACCTACTACCTTAGAGTGACCACAGTCTGATCGGAAGCCTTCCGCATTCCTATAAATATGTCTGTCTTGATTGGGTAAGACAATAAACGTGTAAGTGCAAAGGTGGTTTTATTTCTTCCAATGTTTGCGTAGGTAGGTATACTAATGTTTACCTTTACGACGATCTTGTATTAATTATAGATCAGTACATTAAACGAACGAATGTACATTGTAGTTGTAATTTAGAGTGTCGATATACAGCAATGCGAAGCGAGAGTTATATGGACGCGTTGCAAAGCGATCTTAGCAATTATTCCAAATAATAAGTATTCTTAAACTTGTACCTAGCTAATTGTAAAATAAAACCTTAGACATTTGTTTTATTAATTAAAAAAGTTTCTGTGACTAGCTGAAATAGTTGAAAGTGATATGATTAGTTCGCCATATATTTTACAACTTTCAACACATATGTTACATTACCTATATATTTGGATACTTCATACTGAAATAATTATTTAATACGACTATACCATATTTTATATTTTGTTATTATAAATTTATATCTCAAATCTAATAATAGTCCCTTATATTATACATGATATGGTCTAATTTTGAAGTACCGTAAGTCATACATAGCAAAATACTTGTTAAACTCACTCACAAAAAGAAATTTCAATAAATAACACTACTTAAGTATCGTAAAGGGTATTGTTTAGAAATTAATCATATTATTTAATGTATATAATAAAAATAATAAAGAACATATAAAAACTAATATAGTACTTCATAGAACTATATATAAGTATAACGTTATATATAACATTAATAATCCATCCAGTCATTAAAGACTAAAATATTTATATTTGATGCTTGATCGCTAATAATTGGTGCTTATCAAAATTACAAGCAATTATGGCGAAGAATAATGTTTGATAATCGATCCAAGTTACTGGCTAATAAGGCATATTATATTAATTGTTGCCAGATAAATGACCCCTATTAACTTCGGCAGAATAATCTGTGTGCGACGATTTATTAATAAAGATGATTTATGAATTCATAATGGAATAATTTATGTAACTATAGACAAGACAATATTTGGTACTTAGCTGAGAAACTTCCTAGACAAAAGTAAACCACATAGACTTAATGAAAGCACGGATTATTTCAATACTTTCATAATTGTTTGAAGAAAATTATCAAAATAATAGAACTGTATTAATATAATGATAATAATATTAAAATGGATTAGAAATAAATTTACATAAATTAGAAAAGTCTTAAAACCATCAAAAATGGCAGATAAATTAATGTATGTTTCTCAATGTCACATCTGTGTGACACATACACTGAGCGAAAGTGTTCAAAGTTTCAATGTCAACATATCTAAAATAACTTATCTTTGACAGTTCAGTGAATGTAATCGTTTGGGCGGTAGCCAAAGCTTTCGTCTACCTACCAGGTAAAATAGGCAATTGGCCAATTTGAACATAATTAAATGTTACAATGATCAAGGGAGCCTAGACATCGATTTGATACTGTTAAATTAGTTATACAAAAATAGATATAAGAGTTACGAAATCAAATTAACTATTCGTGAATATCAATCTGAAACCTACAAAGTGTAAAGGTCAATTCGAATACTAAATAATTAATCAATTTAGGTAAAAAGCATAGTGTATACAGTACAGGAACTCTGTAAATTATAATTCATTTGCCCTCTGTGTAGAGGACATCGGATGAAGAGGGACATAATTTAATTTACTAAATGGAGTCACAATATGCACGTGCCAATATGGCACTAATTACCCGATAGATAGTGCAGACATTTTTTTACTGCTAAGTAATTAACTAATTAATACAAATAACACCATTTCTGTGAGTTTAAATTTATTCATTATATAGCGCATATATATTATGATAATAAGTTTAATGTAAACAACATATATGACCGTAAGAACAGAGAACAAATGGACACTTATTTGGAAACTTATAAAGTTAAATGTAAGTTACTTTATCTCGAGAGAGCTCGGCATTTTGTGAGCGTAGATGTAGCTTGAAGAGGTAGTAAAGAGATAAACAAAGTTACTTTTAGAATGTTATTAAGAATAGTCTCTCATAATTTAACTAGCTAGTTAAATAAAGTTAATAAATGATACTGAAGATTTAACTGAATAGTCCTTAGTTTTAAACTTAGCCTTTAAGGGTACCTATTACTAACATGCCTCTGCATAGTTACCTATCACGTCAATAGACTAAGATGCAGATTGTAGTGTAGTAACGATCACCTAAAATAGGCGACGTTAGTACTACACTGGTGCTTCTCATGCCTTGTTATTATTGACGATTGAGGTGACCTGTAATTTCACGAATATATAACGTGCTCTCACACCCAAACATAGCTTATAGAGCAAATTAGAGATAGGCACATAGTCTACACATAGAAATACTGAAATAAATTTATATTAGGTTTGTACTCATTTTGTATTTGATATCAACATCATCAACTATAATCAATTTTCTGGCAATAAAAAAAATAATGCCGAGACTTTTCATAAAAATACTTATTTTACTAGGCTAATAGAAGAATAAATATAACGCCATCTAGTCCCAAGAATAAGAGCTTATGGGTGTGTTATGGATACTAGAGAACTAATCTAAATACTTTTTTTGTAAATGCTAATAGTTTGTTATACATAGAAAACCCCCAAACCTATACATATAATTGTAGTCATACAAATATTTATACTGTGCCAAGCATCAATCTGGCGACCATAGGATATAGACGCTGTGCTAAACCGCCAGACCACCAAGACCGTACGTATTTATTTTATATAAATAATTTAATAAAGTCATTAAGTATAATCTATTATCTCTATTATCATTTAAATACTCCATATTTTCAAATTATATATCCGTAGTGAATAAAGGTATTAAAAAATATAAGGTGTTGTTAAAGCTGACACAGGTGGTTCATTAGCTTTTCTTGTTTGAAGTCTACGCGGGTGAATATAACATTTATTTATGAACAATAAATACTCATATTATTTGAGCTTGACTTTAAAATATTTTTTCTTGTACTGTAAGCATCTAGAAACAATTAAATCTACATGAATCGAAATCGATAATATATCATAATAATTTTATGTGCGAACGTTTAAATAAGACAGGATTGTATATAATAAAAAACTATATTTAAAAAATCGTAAGTAGGTAATTTTTATATTTACGTGACAATAATATCATATTCAATGTAATTGTAAAGGTAATATTTTGGTCATATTTTCTTCATTTGTTCACATGCGAGCGAAGCCGTGTTGGACAGCAATTGAAATATATATTTACTGAAAATCCTGTCACAGTTAGACCACACTCGTGCAGAGAAATAAATAATTATGTCATAGACACAATTGTATTCAACATTATATCAACTACCGTTGTTTTTGTTACTCTGGACACAGATAATGGAAATTCATATTCACAATTTTCCGGAATCTTTATAACAATGTTTTTCATTGAAACTTTTAAGATATATGTGTTATGTCATTAGGCAAGATATTTATTACCGTTTGTTCTAGGTCACTCTCTTGGAAGGCTATTTTTACTTGCTACTCTAAAACAATTGTCCCACTGTCTCAAAGACAGTTATAAATGAATGTATTATATATGTTGTACATTGAAAAATTAGTTTATATCATTACATAGTATAAAACAAAGTCGCTGTATGTGTAATGTATAATATACATATATACCCGGGCAAGCCGGAGCGAGTAGCTAGTGATAGTATAAAGAACGATATACGAAACAAAGATAAAACTCGTCATATTTGATAAAAATTCCTCAAATTAATATATTCTCGTTTTTATGTAGAAATTAACATTATTGATTTATATTTAGACCAGGAATAGTTTTCATCAAATAATCAGAGTAAAATATCTGTTAGCTGGATAAAATGACAATTATTATAACTTTATAATTTCTTAAATTATAGGTTCTGACGTTAATATGTACAATATATTAACAGTATCAGCAGTTTTACAGCAAACATTTATTTCTAAACTACTTGAAACTTCTACCAAAGAATTAGTTTTATATTATTCAGTACACATTCAGTCCATTATATTTCCACATAAAATATATACGATATTGGATAAAATTGTTTCTATAATAAAATTATTTATGGGATTATGTGGTTATAAGTCCGTCAACATTATTATAGAAAAGTACGTATTTTTACAAAAAAATAAATGCTAGTAGTAATGGATGTAAAGTACAGAAAAGTAAAACTATTTTATATTTTTAGTTTATTCGTGATAACAATAGGCTCACCCATAAACCAACTAACGACTATAGGAAATCATCGAAGTGACACAGACGGCGAACTATTTGTGAAAAGAATTGTAGATGGAGAAAGTAAGTGTTTATATACTGTTAAAATTTATGCACATCAAATTTTACTTATATCTATATTACTTACACGTTATAAACCAATTAATAATATTTTAGAATTCTCAAACAAACCCAGCTATTTACTTTTCACCGCTCCCTATAGACTATGTAAAGGAGGATGCAATAGTACAGATAACTTTGTTTTTGCATTTCCATTATACATCGGGAATAAAGGGAAAGTAACTTACCAAAATATGTACCGCAAGGACTACAAAAATGTCTATTCAAAAAACGTAAATGCACCGTTTCGAAAGAAGACAAAAAGAAAGCCTATTACTCCTTGCCCTACATTAAAATTAGAAGTCACTAACAATGTCCATTCAGAACAGATTCCAGAAAATAGTAATACTCTAAAAGCTACAAACATGATCGTCGAGATGGATGAAACTTCAATTTTAATAAACTTTGAAAATACCACAAGTTTGTCAAGTATTACGAAAACAGACTCTAACACAGTTATTACTACAGAATCCATGATAACTACTACTAAACATTCAAAACATTCAAATACAGCTTATGAAAATACTATGTGTCCGAAAATATCCTCAAGAAACTGTAAAAAAAGAAAACCTAGTACGAACGAACAAACCATTTATAATGATGACGTTAAAATTAATGATTACAAAGTAGTCAAAAACGATGTCAATAAAATTTTAAGAAATGAGGAAGTTTATTTGAATTTCTATGAATTATCTTGATTTGACTATTGATAAAAATAATTGATTGATTAAAAAAATATCTTTTTGCCTCTATATTATTTTGTAAAAATAGCAACATATTTTTCTAAGTAGCAAAACAAGAATTATGCATCATAACCATATAAATATAATTTTTAAAAACTCATTGTATACTTAGAAACTGATGATATTCTGTATATATTATACTTTACAGATATTCACGCTATTCTTGTTTCAATTTTCCAATTTGGTGTTAGTTCAAAGTGACTTAGCATGGGACAGGTGGTCATGGTCAATGTCACAAGGGCCCATTGAACATTTCTTTCGAAGACAAAAAAATATGCCTATGAAGTCACCGGATTTTCAATGCGAATGTCCTCCGCATAAAGGTTGTATGATACATGTAAAATTAACGTTTCCTTAATTTATAAATAAAAATCATTATATGAGAATAGTGTACGAAATTCTACTTATTGATTCTGATTATTATAAAATTATTGTTCTTACTTGTCAGACATTCACAATATTTATGATATAGTAATAATAATCTCAGGACAATTCACACAGCGCCATCTAGACCCAAATTAAGCAAGCTAAAGCTTGTGTTATGAGTACTGGATAACAGATACAAATACATAGATATATATTTTTTTCGTAAATGCATACATATTATACATAGAAATCACCCAAACCGATACAAACAATGATACTCATGAATACAGATACTTGTCCGTGCGAAAAATCGAACCCGCAACTATCGAAAGTAAAGCGATGTGTTAAACCGTTAGGTCAAGAAATATATTTCCAATGTATCAATGAACTATTCAAGGCAAAAAAGAAACTTACTATTCTGTTACGTTCCTAAAAGTTTTATCTTTGTCAATTATGAAAAAATGTATATCTTCCCGTTTAAATTAAATTTATCCATCTTAACGTATATGTATGCGAAACAGTCTGCCTATTTGTTCTTTTTTCATAAATAACTACAGAAAGAATTTTAATTATAGTTGACGTGAACTTAAATCAACGATACGATCTACGTTCAGCAGAACAGACATAAGCTACATACATGTATTTAAAATTTAGTAAATTTTTAAGCAGTGATAGCATGCTTACATTCTACTATTGTGATTTCAGAATGTGTAATAAAATTTGAAATTAATGAAAATATGGTTGATTTTCTCAATCTTCGAGGGGTGTTGAAGGATGACGAAGTCAAAATATTTCAGGAAGAAATAAAGAAAATACAAGAAACGACTACTGTATCTGTTAAGGAAATGATAAAAGATGGACGAAGGAGACAGGGTCGAGATACTTCTCAGGATGATTGCTGCTGTCCTCCAAGAACGGCTATGATGCCCACATTCATTACCGAAAAAAAATTTGATGAGATAGTCGATAGATTTAACAAGAAAAAAGACCCATAGTATATCATTCGTATAAATATTTTAGCAATTCATTTTGTACTTTAGTTTTATTTTCATTATCCCATTTTACACTATTAAAAAGCTAGTCCTGCTCCTGAGTTAAGACCTGCACCAAAATCGTCAGAATACTTATAAAGTGGTGCTATTTATAAAGCAAGCATTATGTTCAAAAGTATTTCTATTCGTTTAAACTCGTGTTTCTCCACGATAAACTCGTCTGAGTTTATCGTGGTGACATCTTGTAAAGAAAAACTAATTAAATTTCAATTTTCAACCAAATTGTACAGAAATAGCACGGAGCCAATTTTTACTAATATGTATATATATATATATATATATATATATATACATATTAGTAAAAATATATGTTGTATGTATATATATATGTTGAAAAAATAATGATTGCTTATTAAAAATCTATATAAATTTAAAGTATTTTTTTAAACCGCACTTATATAATTGAAATAAATTAAATAGACATTAAATCACAGACGTTTACACGTGCTAAAGTTAATTTATTACGCCATAAAGAAAGATAAGAAGCGAAATATCTAATAAAATTAAAGTAATATAGTCATAGTTTGTAACATATCAATATTCATATATGCTTTACTTTTATTGCACAAAGAAGAAATTGCAGAAAAATAAAATAGAAATATAACCATGCTGTTGTATAAATCAATAATATTTCTCTTATTCATTTCATGTAGTTTTTGCAATAAATCCGAAGAGAATACAATAACAAAAAATATATGCAAAGGTAAATTATGTTATTCTTAATATTTATAATTTTGTTAGTATTAGGTGATTTAAAAAACATTTATTTAAATGCATGTAATGAAAGTAATGTCTACTATTATAATATAATAATATTTTATTCCTGCAGAAAACTGCGCTGACAAACCGCCTCTCATTGTCTTGCCAGTCATCATAAAACTATTTAGATATCCAAAATTTATTCCTAATGTTAACAACACGATGCAAGATTAATTACATATGACATTTATACACTATTAATATTATGTAACATTAATACAAATTTGTATATTTATTAAAAGATTATTATTATAAATACTCGTAGAAGAAAGAATTTCTTATATCAAGTTATGTAAATTTTCGTAAATATTTTTCTAAATATACGTCATGCGACAGAGATTTTTATAGTACCTCCAAGCCTGTATTCTACCCACTACTCAAATATTGTTTAAATTAATCTAAGGCGCGCTATGCCATTAATAAAAGTTTGTATGACCGCTAGCAAATAGCACATTCTACCAGCATTAGGTTAATACATTAGTTATGATATTTATCTCTTTATACAATGTCGTTATTTATACGAGACTAATCACGATATACCTTACTTAACAATATAGACATTTAACATGTATATATTTTTTCAATTCTAAACTACAAACTTTTAGGTACCTATTCATTTTATTTAATTGGAATTAATATCTGCTAAAGTGAAAACTATAAATTTTTCAAACATATTCTAATATTATAGAATAATTATGTAAGTATATCATGGTTAAAATTCAATGCTGAAAAAACCTGTTTCGTAGTGAACATGCATTTGGTACCTAGGTTAGTTGCATAACAACGCAGGTGGTCAGTAGAAATTACGTTGGCATGTACAATGTACATGAAACGTAAATAATACACAATAAGTGGGTGCCAATAAAACGTGAACGAAAGATGTTGACACTGACATTAAACATAAATCCATGAGAAATATGACGGTAAGTGTTTGCTCAAAATAATCAATTCAAATATTCAATTAACGGAGACCCAAGCTAAACAAGCACTTGTGTTATAAGTACTAAACAAATGATAACAATACAGGTCTATATATTTTTTGTAAATGCATTATATAAATACATAGAAGACACCCAAACCGATACACGCAATCTCATGCTCTTGGATGTTGATGTTTGTACGATGTGATAAATCGAACCCGCGACCATTAACGTTGTGCTAAATATTACTCTTTTGCTTTACTAAACAATCACACATCATCATTTAAAAGTCATTGAATCTCATTTATTTTCAGCTGTATTGGAAATATATTTTGTTAATGTTACACGAATTGATAAGAGACTCCTTTCAATCTATCGCTGGCGTCACTTACATGGACGATTTCGACTTCGCAGATAGATACAGGGATATAAATGAATGCAATCCCTTCTACTGGCACCCCCTCCATCTTCCAGAAGCCTGCGCTGAAATGTTCAATAAATTAATCCGCTCACGTGTAAGTTCGATGATGCCTTTAAGAATAATGACAAGAAAGTATAATACGAAACCAGTTTATAAATATCAATCGGTGCCTACGTATGATACTGAAATTATGGATATCCCGTTTAATTATGAAAATGCATTCACGACACCGTATGAAAAAATGTTATACCTTATGTGGAAAGACGCTGTAAATTTACCAACTGCGCCTAAAATCACGTCGCTACCGTTTTTGGGCCCAGTGGCTTTTTACCATCAGCCAATATCTAAAAAAAGTAAAGATATGGTAAAATACATAGCAAAAGCTTACAGGTATTCAGGTATTGGTTACAATCAATTTCCTCTCAAACTTGATAATTGCACTCAGTTGCCTCCAAAAGAAGAACATAACGAAAAAGAAAATGAACACATTGGTCAGAATATAAAAAGGTCTGGTAGACCTAAAAAAAAGTATCATATAAAAAAGATAATAAGAAATGGGAATATTGTAACAATTTTGAAAAGTAAACACAATTAACATGGAACATAAACCCACTTTAACTGGAGTTTATTCTGGAGAATTATATGAAATGACCATATTTATTCGCCGCTCTATTAAATTTCACAGTTCGCAATGTGTGTGAACGAACGAATGTTTCCATTGCAAACTCAAATTGTATATTGTCAATAAAATTATTATTTATAATACTGATGATCATAATTATATTATAGCGTTTTACATCCAGTCTGATCTATGCAGTATTGTCTATTTAGGTTGGGTAGATCGACCAGTTTTTATAAATCACATAGATATTTTTAAATATTTAGTTAACTTTTTCGTAAAAAATAACTTGCATGTAAACACACAACACATAATAATACTTTGTAGTAGGTACATTAAATACAAACAATGATTTAGTGTTTCTTTGTACTTTATTCGGTGAAACAATGTACGCATTGAAATTTATGGAATAAGAGTTTTACAATGGCCAGATTTAGTCTCAACCTGAATTAGAATACCTAAGACCAGTTATGATACTGTTACAGGTGAGTTCTTTATACTTGTACCGTGAAATGTTATTAACTTCAATTGTTCTCTAATGAATGTTTATGATTTAGACAAATTATGCGCTAAGTAGGTAAAATAGATATATTTTTGAATTAAATTATTAATTATTATAATTTTACTTTGATGTGAATTCGTACATTTCATAAACATAGGTGAAGATCGTGTAAGAGTGGAGCCTCCTGGCACAGACAAAATTTAAAAGGAGTAATGTATCCTTAAAAGGAGCCTTCAACAACTGTATAAAATTTAGTACAAATTGTATTACCTAAATAAAACTTTATGAATTTTAAATATTTACTTTAGAAACTGCGTAAAATAATTCGTATCTTTGTTTCTCAATAATTATGAAAATTATAAACACATGTATAACACTATTCAAAAAAATCTATCTACATCTGTATATAAATATACTTCAACTTTTCTGTAAGTATATAGGTACCTATAGAATATTATGCAATTACAAAGAACTTTGCTTCTCCGAGGTAAGGTAAAAATCAATTCATACGGCTCATTAGTTACCAGGTCTGCGACGGCAACGTGTAGACGCTTCAACTTTCCTTTTGTTTCCTTCCTGCATTACCCAAAATTTATAACAATTCATCCAGAACTTTCGCATAATGAAGACAAAGCGACAAAAATTTTATAATATTATTGTTATAAATAATAAAAACAGATAACCTTATTCGATTTCTCACATAGTAAAAAAAATACATTCAGGAGTACGATTGTTTATTCTGGTTTGGCGTTTTTTATTATGCATGAGATTGCAAAAAAATCTAAGTATTTCTTTCAATTCTAACCTAACCTAACTCAAGCTTTGCTTACCTTGGGACTAGATGGCGCTGTGGGATTTGTCCTAAGATATTATTATTACCATTACTATTTAACTACTATACTAGTGTAATTAACAATTATAATATTTAAAAGTATGTAACATACTTTTACTAGACTTGAAATTGCAAACAAAAAGTTGGTAGTTAAGAGCACCATAGAATTCCGACAGCACTGTATTTGTCATTTCTCTAACATAATGTAATCGTGCCATTACATTATATTATGTTACTGCTACATCATAATTAAACAAGAATGTAGCCATTAGTGATTTACAAATTTAATATTAAGCTATCTGATATAGAAAGTATATAATATTCGCCTATAGTTTCGGTAGTATATAAATATTTACTGACAATATTGCTGACGCATTGCTGAGGACTAAGTTCATATTTTCGTAGTTTATAATTGGCCACTGTCATATTCCCTCCTTCAACTGAAATATAACTTGCAACGCACAGTTATTTATACAAAGTCTAACACCGTGCATAATATGAAATTATTTGTTTTTCATTAGATATTGGTCATCGTTACAGTTATAAACTCTGCAATATGTACAATACATGGACTGAGTTACATGGACGCGCTGAACTTCAGATCAACGCAAGAGAAGTGGCAAGGCGAAGGAAACCCCTGCAACCGTTTGTATTGGTATCCTAGGGAAGTCCCAGAATATTGTTATCATACCACACCTAAACCAGACTCCGGTCAGCCTCGCTTACCTATACCTATTCCTGTCCCATTACCACATGTACCTTTATTTCCAGATCCTATACCACCATTGCCTTTGCCTTATGGTGTCCCAATTGTTCCATCAAATCCTATGCTTCCTATTGCCGGTATACCTTACCTTGGTCTACCAGCTTCTTTTCCCTTTCAACCCTATCATAGAGGAAATCAAGTCGGTATGGTCCCAGGTCTACCGGGATTAGTCACTCGAGATGAAGGTATAAATATATTGCCATTTTCTGATGTGTATGCAGATTTATTGGAAAAACAAAAGAAGAAAATGCTAACAAAAAGACTTAGGCACCTTTTCGAGGAATATGATAACTATCCATGGCACCGACGTAACAGATAAAGAAATATAAAACAAGATCCGACAGATAATTATATGAATATTACAGTCTTGATTTTGAAGCATCAGACAAATTTAGAAAGGTATCCTAATATTTCAAAGGTTTAATACCTTTTACAGAAAGACAATATTAAAAAATAATAGAAAGGTAAAACGAAATCCTTATTGTTGTTAAACGAAAGTACATAAATTCATTGTCTAACTGTAAGAATTGTAAACTTGTGGCCGCATATTTATTACGATCATTGTAATTGTATTATTTGCGATATATGTATATACATGCATATGCAAAATTGATAAACTAAAGGACTGTGGATGTAGTAAAGGAATCTACAGGTATGTTAGACATACTGCATGCATGATGTACAAAGAAACAACCCGAACGTCCAAAATGTCTCATGACATGTTTTTCGTACATATCTACTTACGCTGTAGCGTAAATATACGAATAATAGATTTCTTTGTGCATTTGGCTTAATCAGCCATTAGATACATATGGAAATTTAAAGTAAAAACAAGTATTGATCAGGATTTATATAGTTTATTAACAAAAAAAAACGGTAAATGTCTACTTAAAAAAAAATAGAATATATATACTAAAATGTACAAGTAACTATAAATTTTTACGTGTCTTCATTTATTGTTTTATTACACCATGATATTTTGGTCATGTCAAGCAATTTAAACCATATTCTGATCACGGTGAACAGAATATAGTTTAGTTTGCTAGCACACAGCACATATAATAGCCGTCACTCTCCGTAATGATTATAGATATTTATTAATATTTCTATGGAGTTATAAACAGTTCCTATATAAACCTACTTTGTCTGCATGATAAAAAAATCGATTGTTCAAAATCTGTGCGGAACGTTGCTGTCGCTCAAGCCTAATGTCTAATTACCATATAGACATATTTTCTAAACAACAATACCTACTAGTCATTATTAATAACCTATTTAATGGACGGACTTCCTGATGGGTTCCAATATGTACACATATACTAATATCTATGTCATTACCTAAATACTAATTACTTACGCAAAAAGTTTATTTCATTGTCACCTTCAATATACAATAAGAGACTTTCGAACATACAATGACCTAAAATAAATTTAATACTTGTCTAGTCTAACGATAAAGTTAGTAGTTGTTAATTTGACTAAATATTTACTTAGATGTTCTTTGACATCGTGATTCAAATCACTCTTGTTGCGTCAAATATCCACTACATTTATTTTGTCAATTATATATCTTACAATATATAATATATATAATATATATAATACAGAAATAGTATATAAATAATGTATTATACTACATTTATTGAAACCTATAAATTGTGTTCAGTAAATATTTGATTAGATATAAAAATGTGAGGAATCCGCATAAACATTTAATTGTCACGTTACTAATTTTCTAATAACGACAATTAAATGTTTTTGCGAATTCTTTGTTTATGAAACTTATTAGGACGCCCAGAAAAATAATTATTATGGAATTGTTATATTGTTATATACACAGAGGAATATAACCTAATTATGAAATACATTTATAGCGGTAATTAGTAACACTTCAAATGCGGTTCGCTGTTTATGTAGTCGAACATCCAAAGTACACACAAATTCAATGATTTACCTAAGCGGTAAACAGGGACTGAACATAAATACATATATATGATAAATAGATATATATATTTTGAATAAATTGATTTAAAACAGCATAACTTGTTTAAGCTATACTGTATAAATTACTTACATAAATAAATATAATGTTTCATATTTAATATGATGACTACATAATTAGTATATATAAAACAAAGAAAAAAATATTATTATTATTAATAAAAGCCCTAAAATAGCATTTTAAAATATTTATTGATTATAATTTCTATTGTGTAATTAAATTAACACTTATCTACATTACGCTTTGTATGTACTTAATACACATATTATTTATATAGAAATCCTAAAAATGCTTACTTAATCTATTTTATTGGAATGTTTCGTATGGATTTTCGTACAAAATAACTAATAATATTTAATACTATATAAACAAATTGTCTAATAAATTAATACTAAAAATAATAAAAATTGTAGTATTCATAATGTAAGTTCACAATTTATTGCACTTCAAAAAATTCAATTTTTCAGTTATTTTTTACTGAAGGTGGAGAATGCAGAATTACATGGACTTATGGAGATATTTACAGAAGAACTTATTAACATTATATCATTATCTATTACCTATTCTAATTAATATTTTAGTTTCCATTAAACGGACAGCATAAAAAGTTTTGTCTACTCACGCCAATGTATGAGTATGTAAGTGCTATAGTATATATTGACTAAAAAATAAGCTATATACGAATATACTTATTAATGTATGTATAATTCAGTTTTATATTTGTCTCTGGAGATGCATTACAAAATAATGAAACGGGAGTTTTGGCCATAAATTCGAGCAATTTCTGCTAAGAAATAGTACATTGGATTTGTTTAATATAAACTTTTTATTTGGCATCACTAAACTGTACTAACATTTAATATTTATCTACTGTATTCCTAACAATTTTGATTAGACTGATAGTTTGAGTTTGCCAAAGCAATACAAACTTTGGTCGGAATTCGAATGCAAGCAGTTGGTATAGAAATTTGATAGTAAGATCCTAGTTTCTCTCCATTACAGGCTACTTAAACATAAGACCCTACTTATTGGGTATATGTCTCACGATTAGGTATATACATACATGATATTACAATGATTAATAGATTGCAACTGACGTTTACTGATATTAACATTCTAAAAGATCGACATAAAATTCATGAACAAATTAGTACTATTCTATGAACAAAGTAGTATATTGCATAGTCTAGTATACTAATTCAACAAAGACGCAGAATATGCTGTGGCTAATCTCACAGAAGTTACCACTCACAGTTATGCCTCTTATGTTATAAGAGTATATAAATAAACTGAAATGAAAGAAATACAACTGCTATGAATTCCCAAAAAATTTTAAATTTAAATCTGTTGTAGTACCTGATATTAAAATTGGTTACATCATAATTATAATCTATATCAAATTACTGAATAAAATATGTATGATATTTTACAACACGTTAAACTACCATAGATACAGTAATTAAAATTACCCGAGCTAATTCTTATATCTTTATGCTCAAAGCGGATTCAATTAATATAGACCGATGAAAACAGTTATTTTCATTAAATACTCTTATTAAAATTTCATATATTTTATTAGAAGGAGACTATTAAATACCTTCATTTTTTAATTACTCTATTTTATGTAATCCTTTCGGTTTTATGGAAATACAATAAGTATCTCTATCCTTTTGTCTTATCTGTGTTAAAATTAAAAAATCAGACAGTATCTCAGTCGCTTATGAAGGTAAATTTTTTATATTATAATTTTTTTCCTGCCATTAATAATAATATTCAGTGTTAAATGTGTTAACGTTGCTAATGAGTTTTTATATTGACAGACCCTAATTAATATCTTCTAGTCAAGTATTCAGTGAGACAAACTAAATGAGCACATTCTCAAAAGGTTCTTATTACTTTAGAATATATTTAATAATTACTAACTACCATCAACATGCTCAGATTAGCTCTATGTTACTGTAACATTTTATCTCCTCAAACCTACATAAGAATGCCGATCAATGACCAGCAAATAGATATAATATATTATGCTAATTAATAATACCATTATTTTCAAATTAATTATTAGTAATTTAAAGAATGTTTATTTTATCCTAAAAAGTTAATATAATGAAAATTTATAATTACCATAGTAGCATAGATCCACAATAATAATAAATGCCTCATCACAAGTCACCGCACATGTAATAAGCAGGAAACAACGTTTTTTGCTAATAAAACTAAACACAAGGACAGATTCTGTTAATATTCATAATTAATAGATATTCGTTATGTAATAATAAGATATTATCAACATAATAATACAAATCATTATCTAAGAAAACCTAGATCGCGGCAGTTGGAGCATTTCACGCATCAACTCATTAAGTCATTGTGCAATTCATTGATTACACTAATTCACCGTTATTAGATATAAATATACACAATATAAACTGCATATTTTATCATTATTGCATGTACATTACGAACAATTACGGACGTGCATTAATAAATGATTGTAATAAATTAATGATTTACGCTATTCCGGAGAATGTTCAGTTACTTGCATTTATTAAAAAAGTTTTAGAAACATTTTATTAGTTTTTAAATTCCTTCCTTTTACAAAGTTATACATCAAACTTCTCTAAGTTTATAGTATAACTTACCTACGAGTACTTAGTAAAAAGCTGCAAAGTAAACCCTATTAAGTTTCTGTATGTAACTTCACTGTTAACATTAGGCGCTGTTACACAGAGCTTAAACTTTTACGTGCATAATTAATTTCATTGAACCTTATTTTATTTTGCATGGATGGATAGCAACAATGCTTCTAATTTCCCAAGCTAGGATAAGCTACATCCCAATCGTGACAATATATTATATTTATATTAATATGAAACGGTAATTGGAAATAACTACATCGAAAGAAAAAAACGAGTTATCTGGCAATGAACTCTACCGCCGTATAGGCTCAATGGTAAAATCAAATAGCGTGCGCTTCCCCGGCTTCCTGCTCCATACTGCCGCTCATTTTATGAATTCGTTCCCACAAATTGCGGTAAAGCGAGAGGGAGCGAAAGATGTTACTCATAATAAAATCTATTCAAATAAATAATAGATACATAACTAGATTATAAACTGAATATTACTAGTTTATAAATATTGTACTTACAAGGTGTCATTAATATATAGTACGATTTTTTAGTTATATCTACTATGTTTAGACGTATCATTATTTAATAGTATTTAGTTTATTTTTTATGCTACAACAATGTTTCCGTTCTATTAGCAAAAAAAATTAGTATGTATCTAAATGAAATATCAACTAGCCACTACTACTTACTACTTACTACTACTAAAAACACAACACACTTCACATCATTAAATGACTACTTTATCCCCTGGAATGATCGGTTTTAACATTTGTTTTATCGTTGTAACAGTTGTATACAAATGAAAGATACGATGATATAAGCATTATGGCTTTATGAACATCTAAAATATATACATTTAATATTAATTTGAATACTTTAATACAATCAAGTTTAAAGTATTCAAATTAATATAAACATAATCAATCAATATTCAAGAAGTGCCTAAGACAGAATGTGTTAATTATATTAAGTTTATCTGATCGTATATTTTAAGTGAAATAGGAATGTATCTAACGTGAGAGACGACATGATACAAAATAAGCCAATCCAAATTAAAATGACATTACATAAAGCATATTAATAACGCAAAAAAAATAGCATTGTATAATAATTTTAAATTAATAACATATAATAGTCACAATCACAAACACATTCACAAAACATTATAACACAACACTTGAAATAAAAAGACTACCTCAGCCATGCTGACGAATTTATTACGTATCGAGTAAAACTAACTAATGAATGTTAAAAAACAAAAAAGATATTTATATCTTAATTCATTATAATAATTATTTTAAACAATACCAATAATTTACAACTACAGAATCTTTAATCTAAATGACTATAGTATAATAATTAGTCTTAGATATTACATTAAAAATTATTATTCTTACCCGACTACGTTCATCTCCATGAATTCCAGCTCTACAATGACCTTAACACTCCCTAAGTATTGCTCTGTTGAATGCGCGTATATATTCATACTATACTAACAATATCTATCTAAGTATTAATTAAATATTATATCATCTATGCACTATTATAGCAATCTACATGTCAAACATATTACGTAAAAAAATCTATTGTAGTAAACAGTATTAAATATTTGTAAGATGCATTTTTTATTAATCTATTGTAATTCTTATAAGAAACAAGTAATTGTGTTTTGGGATAGATACTACTACCAATAGTAATGAAATTTACAATTATAATACTTATGTATTAAAATATTTCCAAAACAATTATGCATGAAAAAATCTGCTCTGTAATAAAACAAACACAACTTCTGCTTGGCCGAAATCAATTTGCTACAAACTATAGTTCCTCTTATGAATTAGTGTGGGCAAACAAATAGACCTTTATTTTAAACTTGCACAGTATAGTAACCGTCATATTATATTATTCTCTTATTATCTTCTATTAATACAATAATACAAAATGTATAGCTATTAAAAAAGGTTGCTGTCTATGGTTAGAGTATAAAAACTATAAAATTCTATACAAATAAGGAACTTAAAAGACCAACTTAGCATTTTTACAATACCAGTTTCGAATTGGGAATAATATGAGATAATTCATTTTTCCAGTTATTTTTTTATTCTATTCCATTTCAGTTACAGATTAATAACAACTAATTTAAGAATAGTATTTAATTCTAATGCAATAATCGTTCAAAATTCATTTGTCAGAGTAAATCCTAAATACCATGGTATCCGTTTGTCCTATTTTCTAATAGAATAGAATAGAAAAGATTGCCAGTAGAATAGAAAAGTATTTAAATAGCATTTTATGTAATCTTGATAATATGGAATTGATTCTCAAGGTATAGAAAAAATGTAAAGAAAGTCATTGTTACTGTTTGCTACAGTTATTGGTAGCTTACATGTAAAATAAATAATTCTTCAAAGTAATCTCTTTCGTAATTTAATTTCTAACCAGGCAAATATCAACTTCCAAATCTTATATAGGTATAAGATTTGAAAGTTGATATTGATAAAGGTAGTTTGTTTTATTAAGAATAGGTATCTAACAGACAGTTAAGAAACTGTTCAGATTAATTAAATAAATATTATTTTAATATCATATCTCTAAATCTCTATTTAAGTATCCACTGCCGCATTATATACATTTTTTTATTTTTAATTATAAATAGGTATATCTAATAATTTACACATGTTATACATTATCGTTCTTTATAAATTATTTTGTATAGTATTGATGAACAATAAAATAATTTATAAAGGACTAAAGACGCCTGCTAAAGATGTCGTACATCGAAGTAATAACTTAGATAACTATTATTATTGTAGATATAGAATGAAATACAGATAAATTAATTACATCTATTATGAAGTTATTCTTACGAGTATATTACTAGATTATTTACTGAATTTGACTCAATCCAAGCGGTCTTATTTAGCGGACAATAAATCATATTTATCCGTAAAATAAGATCGCTTGGTAAGACTACGCGTTATTACTAGAACATAATATCTATTTCAATTATTACATAAAATTGCATGTTTTATGTATTTAAACGAGTTACAAAATAGGTTCGAGTAACAGAATATCATCTCTAATATATTCTAAAAACAGTTGTATGATGTCCATGAGAAACACAATAATTATCGCAACGCAAATATCTTCGTCTCGGAGATACATTGTACCGCTGTCGCTTCGGGTCGTCTAATGAATACGTGCTGTAAATAATGTGTTTAACAGTGTCTAAGTAATAATAGGTGTTTAATTTCAATATAATATAAATGACGATCAGTGAGAAACCGACCTAAGTTTAAGCTCTCTATGTAAGACCTGACATGGCTCGACGTAAATATTGATAGGTTATAATCTAAACTAATAAATAGGAAGATAATGTATATTTTATGTTTATGTTTTTGTTTTGTATTTTGCGCTTTAACTGAAAAAAATCGTGATACATTATCAGAGAGTTATAGGTGTTTTATACAGACAGATACACATGACACAAAATGGAAACGTTTACGTGCAACTACAGAGCATATACAAAAATCCGAAAAATTTGCCCCAACTATGTGACAAAGTGTTTCCCGTTTGCGCAGGCCTTTAATATAATACATATAAACTATTCATTTCTCAAAGGATTTTCATTCAATGATCAAGGTGGTTGTTATTCCAGTTCGGTATATTTCGTTCAGAATCTATTTTCGCCGCTTTCTTCAGACGGCAATACGTTTAATGCTCGATTGTCGTATGAGAAATCTAAAGTGGTATCTTCAGCTGGATGTCTGTTATTCAAGGATGTGCTAACTGTCTTTGGAGTTGTTGCACCTTGGCTCTTTTCTGTTTGTGTTCTAGCATCCAAATCTCTCACATTGAGGGGCTGAGTCCGAGGTATAGCGTTTCGCATCTCCAACTTTAAATCTGGTTTGGTCGCTGTTGCCATTTGCGCATGAGGGTTACAATGTGTTATCCCGGCATTTGCATGGATATTTACCCGATTCTGAAAGTATTTGTCAGATATAAAAATAAGAAGAAATATTTTTATGATTATAATAATGTAGTAAGATTAACCACAACGTTACGTCTACAAACCTAACAGTGTTGTCCTTCAATAGTCGTATTATCGGAATAATATTTTAGACTTGGTGTCACATCCCTAATTTATAATACGATATTGGCATTAAATTAGCTTTGCCCAAGAGCAACTATTTCGGTTAAAGAATATATATTATATACGGTTTGCGAAACATCTAATGAATGCCTACTAATCTAATGAAGTGATAAAGGTATTTCACGAGTAAATTAATAGCATAGTTATCACAGTATATCTAATAACATAAAATCTAAAACTGGAACATTAAACGTTCAAACACATAATAATATATTTGATTAAAAATAGCTGTTACATTTGTATAAAAAAAAAGATCCAGAAGGAAGGAAAAGGCATAAAAACCTGTCTCTTTTTAAACGGAATTCTGTAATAGCGTCTTCAATATAATGCTGTTTCATTAATCAGGATTCGTTAGGATCCGCAAGCATTTAGGAGTTCGTAGACGTATCTGTCCTAGGAGATCCAATCCGATCTAGAGTAACCGGTCTGTACTTGAAAAGATACTGTAGTGAAAATTACTGCGTTCTTTAAATGGTTTACTCATTTACTATAGTTGCTGTAGAGTGGGACTCTATTTCATTAGGACTAGATTAGTTCTCAGTTGGGTATTTAGATATTAGTAATAAAATATTTTTATTGTTAACCTTCCAAAGGATTGTTGAATATCCTTAGTTCTTATTTAAAAATCAATTCAGCATCTCACTTTTTTTGGTTGAAATTTCTGCTTCAGGTAACTCCATGTAAACTTGCCCCGACAGATGATGATGAGGATGAGAACGAGTACAGCCAGTGATACCACACTAATGATTAATGCCGCCTGCGCCTGACGCCGGATACCTTTCAAAACAATAATAATAACAGATAATGTCATTCAAACATTATACACAAAATAATAATAAGAAATCTGAACGAATCACACAATGCCATCTAGCCATTTATTAGTATGAGTACTAAACAACTGATAGAAATATGTTGATCCTGTTGATAGATACTGACCCCTACTTTTATAGTTCATATATTATATTTTTACTATTAAGAATTTTATTATATATTGTTGTATACAGAACATTTTAGTTTCTAATGAATGTTATGACTGACATAAACTTAAATACAGAAATAAATTTTATTATTGATGTACACATTCTTAATCCTCTGTTTATTCTATTTATTTACATACATAGCATAAACTGGATTTATTCAACATCCGGATTTATCAAAACATCCAGACTAATACGTGCGAGGATGGAACTCGAGACTATCGAAAGTAAGGCGGGGAGCTAAACCGATAAACCACTAAACTCAGGCCGTCAAAAATTTAATAAATGTTTATTGGTTTTGTTTACAAGTAAGATGTAGTAAATAACTTATTTCTAGTTTCTTATAGCTTGGAATATATATACTAAATAAACGAATAAATTGGTAGAAATAAATATTATTATAATATTTTTTTTGTCCTTGCCAAATATATCGTTCGACCGCAGACACGAATTCCGTTAAGACAACCAGAAGTAGAACAAATCATAGCAAACTTTTACATTTATAACATTGTGTAGAAAATATTTCATTGATTTCTAAATGTACATTTACATTTATACCATGTAAATTACTTTTTAACTATAAACATATTTTATAACCCATTATAAATTCACAAATATAAAAAAGTAAGCACATTTCTTTTCTCGAGCGGAATTATAATTTAAAAAGCACTTTAATCTTAGAATAGGTAGCTATTGTATTACGGCTGTAAATGAAGGGATCAAAAAGAGGTTAAACCATTTTTATTTTATTTTTTTACTAAAATACATTCAATTCGTTTCGCAAAGCAAAATCGCAAAAGCGTTTTAACGAATCCCAATTTAATTAATTCGCCCTGGGTTATTTCAGAATATTTTACAATGCTCTTTGCGCGAAAACTTATGTACACTTGCGGTTTATACCTACCTGATGTAATTCATGAAGCGACGCCTAAAGAGAACGAAATATTGTCAACTCATTAAATATTTAGTCAAGGAAAGCACAATTGGACAGAAAAAGGACGGTTTCATTTATAAACTAGAAACCAATTTTAGTAGATATTGTTGGAGGAAAACTGCGGTTACCTTTTAAGTTATCATATTATCGGTTTCTACTCTAAACCTAAACAAAGATGAAAACATTTTAGAGCAATGCACGTTGTAAGATTACTTTAGAAAGTATATTTCATAATATGACGACATACTATATATTAGACATAGACATTTCATAATATAGTCTAGTGCTTTAGGTAACTCCTAGCCTGAAACTTCAAAGATCGTGAGCTGGAAACTGATCGTAACTATAAAACTTAGTATATCAACTAATATTTCTAAGTGGCGGATGATGGAAGTAACAAGGTATTAAGCATCAGAAAAAGAGCAGTAGTCTCTTCCTTAACGCGTTTAATTCAAATATACACAACAAAATGAGAACAGTTCAAGTGTAATGTTCAGTACGCCATTAACAGTCGAGAAAGATTCCGACTAGCCCATTTATGATATATATATATATTATAATACTAAATAATATAATATTTCTGAATTATTATTTATAAAAGTTCTTAAAATATTATATTAATATTGACATAAAGTATAGTAAACATTAATTTCATTTTTTGTTTGTTAAATATTTTAATCTAAGTTTAAGTTTAAACTACGAGTCGGGGGAATACTCAAGTCTACTTAATGTCAATGTAAAAACGACTCCCATTTATTCCAAAAATTTATTAAACTGTTTGAGTACAAAATTCATGTCACCTGTGTAAGAGACAGAAAAGTTAAAATAAAATGTTAATACATGGCGGGCTTGACAATTAACTATCGTTGGAAGTGTGTAATTGAGTTTATTACAGGGACAACCGCGAGCCACAAATTCGCCTAGGTCATAGAATGTAATTATATTACGAGCTTAACATAATACAGTATATATTTTGAAGTATTACTTTAATGATAATTTTATTTCAATTTTGAAGTAGATAACATAGATAAGTTTTATCCAAATGAAATTTAGAGAACCACGTAATAAAACAAATATATAATATATAATTAGATCTATAAAATGAAAAAAAGTAAATATGTACAAAGAAGAATATTCGCATTAACAAGATAAATCTAAACTCAAATAACATTATCTGTTGTCTAATACTCATAATATAAGCTCTGCCTAATTTTGGAACTAGATAGCATTGTATATCAAAGTATAATTCTTGTATTATATAATATACTTAAAATGTCCTAAGAAATGTTGATAACAATAAAAATATATCTAAAGTCGTAGCTGAAAGTGATACATTCGCTAGAAGAAAAAGTAATGGGTAGGATGTGTAATATAAGCTAACAAGGATACAAATACAATAAGAAAACTTGGCGAGAGTGTCATCGTTAAAAGTATTTTGCATTGGTAACAATATGTATAGGAACAGTGATAGTATTCACAAGTTGTGCGAAGCGACGTTCGCTAACTGAATCTTATTCACTTTTTTGTGATCACAAGTTTATTCGTTAGCTGTAAACTTCGGTGTTACTGCTAAAATTCATATTAAATATTACTTGCTAAATGTCAATTTAATAAATAAAACGACTATTTTTGGAATATGTTTAAAAATGTATCTCTAGACATATGTAGGTAAACAAACTTTTTCTGACTTATTTCGCTATTGACGCACAGCTTTAGCCACCGGGGCTAGAAATTGCAAATATTAATATAATTTACTTTTATTACACAAGCATCCATGAGTGAAGGATTTTCTAAAGAAACAACCATTTTTAACCAAATTGTTATACAAATTGTCTTGGAATTATATATTGAAGAAAATATTTATTACCGTAATAATTATTAGATTACTGCTTGATTCTTCAGTAAATCCTTTCAGAATTCTGGTTTAGTACTGAGTGATGATAAAACTAATATTGTCTATATAAATAAAATACATACTGTTATAATCATTGCCCGCCGGCGATGCAGTGTTTCCATCATTACGAACATATCTCAAGTCTAGAAGATATCCTGAAAAAAAAATATTTATAGTAAAACAGACGAAAAATATTATGTATTATAAAGTTAAACTACTTAAAGAATAATATCAAAGTCTATATAATTAAAAGAATTCAAATAAAAATATATTATTAATTTTTTTACAGATCTATAATCTTTACCTTCCTGCTACTTAATCAGTTCTTAATTCAATTTACTATGTAATGTAGACAATACAGGTACATAGTCTGGCCATAAATACTACAATAAAAAAAAACAAATATTACATTTGAATTTAGAATATTTTTTTTATTTTTGAGATAGTTTTTGTGATGTTAAAATGGAGTAGTAAAAAAACTTGTGTGAAATATAAAGGGTGATAAAGAGAACCGAATTGTACTGTTTTCATGACGCAAAGTAGGTATGTGGCCAACTACAATTTTTAATTCACTATCAGATTGGTAGTAGTCGAATGTTTGTATACTGGGCTATTGATAGATATAATGAAGCCTCCTCTGTTTGTGACAGAAAAAATCCTGCCGTTCACACAGTGTTCGTACGGTAATGGCAATCGAAGCAGTAATGGAAAAATCGTTGAATTCCTGTCAGAAAGCAAAAAATTCTATCTCGCATAATTGAGATGGCTCCTAAAACCATGTTGCGTATTTTAAAAGATGAGTTAGCTGCAGCCTATAAAAGGTGCACTGATCATTACTTAACAAATAATTTACAAAAGAATAGGGTAGTAAAATCGAAACAACTATTTAAGCGGTACGCAAAGAGAGGAGGAAGAGAGAAACAGAATTTATTTTTACGGATGAGAAAATATTTAAATTTTAACAATATTTGATATGACCGTGATTATCCTCAATGCTCTAAATAGTCTCAATTAGTCAACAGAGTACAATGTGGACTTCGGTGATGGTTTGGTGGAGTGTTATCTATAAAGGAGAGACTGAGCCATATTTTTGTAAGATAGGTTGTAATAGATTAAAACATCAGTACAAGTGTATCAAGATACACGGCCTATTAAAAACATCATGTTCCAAAATAAAGAGTAGGCCTTTCAGCAAGACTCAGCGCCAGGTCGTAAAGCTCCAACCCAAGCTTGGTTGGAAACATATATATAAATTCATATTTCATAAATTGTGGCCGTGGCTCAAAACATTAACTTATTGTCTATGTTAATAAAATCACAGACTTTAAGTCGTGTCCTAAGTAAACAACACCACAGCAGGTTGTGAAAACAACAGGTGTATAGTAAGTTCTTTTATAAGTAAAATAATCGTAAAAATGTAAAGTTTGAGAGTTGCAAAAAATATTCTTTTTAATATAACATAATATAACAATAGGCAGCTTTATTTATCTCGGATATAGAACAGAATTAAAAATTGGAATATTGTCATCAAATAGTACCTGCATTATAATAACAGTATCTAAAAGTAAAAATTATAAATCATATTTTTATTTCTATTTAAGATCCTGAACATTACCGTATTACACAATATATAAGCGTGCATTTGTATTGAAGAATATTTCCTGCTGCATAGAGCACAAGTGGCAACACAATGCATTGGGGCTGTTGAATAGGTATAATCTTTTTATTCCTTCACTTGTGTATCCATGTGTACATAACACAGACTAAGCTTGTCCTTTGTCGTATGTATTGCAACTAAACTATAGAAGAAATGTAAGATAGTCGAGTCTCTTGTACTGGTATACCAACACTTTTGTACCTTGTAACAAGAATACTCTGAAAAATAGTTCAAAAACATCTAGAAGAAAAATATACAGAGATTACGGGTAAATCTCCATATATTAATACCTAGAGTACATTGTTGATGCTCAAAAGAACTAAATCGATGTTCTTGCTAAGTTTTGTCAAACAAATATAAAATGAATATTTTTTAGATGAATCTATTTTGAATATATTTGTTATATCTTTCATCAAATAAAATAAAATATAATAATATGTTCTGTAATAAGAAAGGCAAACATGTTGCCTACTCAACTTGCTCAAACTGTACTAAAGACATCACATTGTCATGAGACACCTGCATTAGCAGTCACGTGTTGCCACCCCATAGGACTAAATGTTCATGCCCTATAATTCCTTAAAAACTTTCCTTACCAGTTTCTTAAACACAAAATTCAAACTGATCGAATCTGTAGTTTTTCAAGTAACTCAAAATGTGCTTTAGTGTTTTTCAGCTCTTTTAATATGTCTTCGTATATATTGAACTTTACATAAGCATGTAGGTGTATATAGTGAAAAAGAAATTATAAATGTAATGTAACTACCCCATTACATAATTTTTAATAAGTTTATTCATTACAATTAGAACATAATTATTGTTAACCATTATTTACCGTATTAAATAATTATTTGCAATGACAATATTAATAAATATCAATTCAATAGCAATGAAGAGGAGACACGTTAAAACTAGTTATAAACATACTTCACACCAAATTTGGTGACTATGTCCATGGTCTTGACCACTTTAGAAATTACATATAATAAAATATATATATTTTTTAAGTATTTCTAGAAACAGTTATAATATTGTAATATATATATATACAATATATAAAAGTAAGTTTGGGTGTATTTTCTACTTGTTGAAAACAAAACAAATACTGTTATTTCAATATTCCCTCACCGATACTGCGAAATACACACCGAATAAAAAATAGTAATAAAAACTTTGTGTAATATTTTCACAATATTTTTCGATATTTTATGAAATCCCGCTATTTACGTATCAGTGCACATATGTTTCATCAAACAGACCACGTAAAACTATACCTATAAAAACAAGAAAACTTTGTAAAAATTCTCATATCCAAAAACATATTTTCAGATTTTGAAGGCTTCAAATAAATATCAAAAACTCATATACGGGTTTGCAAATAAAAACAAAACGGAGAGCTCCCATTTGCCTTTGCCCGTGGTAATACTTTTACCGCCGCTTACCGCCTGAGAGGCCTAGAGGTTTAAAACCCAGCCCTACCTCTTACGGTCACAGATTCGAAGGCTCGCATGATGTAAATATTTTTATTCGTAAGTTTGATGAGTAGTTATGATTTACAAAAAAAAATATTTATGAGTATGTTAACCAGTTGACCATTATACCAGCTCTACTTAGTTAGCTTACCAGCTATTTAGATTACCTCAAAGTCAAAGGTTCTTATTATAATTACTCGTTTGCCACATTTGTTTGAAAAAAAACCATAGGTACTTGAATTGCAACGCGACATATGTTAAAGAGAACTCAAAGTTTTCCAATCGTAATAATTCTCAAATGGAACATATTTCAGGATATTCAATGTAACGTAAAAATAAATATCAAAGCTCGAACGTTCGTAAATAAACAAAAAGACGAGCTCTCATTTACTTTTGCACATACTCGTATCTCGAAGCAATACTTTATTTAGCGGCACGTATCTACTCGCCGCACTTGTTTGAGGAACAGAAACATACTTTAATTGCATCGCGACATACGCTACAGAGAGTTTACAGTTGCGCAATTCGTAAATAAGGAACCACCTGGATGCACACTATGATAATTTACACACAAGCTTATCACACTAATACAAACTAGTTTCGGTTACATGTACATGGACACAGTTCGTATGTGTGCAGCTGTGTGTGCGTATACCTGTTACAGTCAGCAGACCATGTCGTTTATGGGTATTGTTACATCCCATGCCAATGATCCTTGGAGTGTATTGAAAACGGCTACCGTATCGAATCTAAACAAGTGTTATTGTGATACAGAATTGAAATAGTTTCTCATGTTACAGGTGACATAATTTTAAAGTTATATACTTAGTTAAGTTATACTTATGAGCCGATTGTAGTCTTTGCTGCGTTTTTATGTCTCGTTTTAATTTTAATAGTACCTATATTAAAAATTAGTGCCAAAGAAAAAACTAGGTATTTGTTTGTTAAGCTGTCAAGAAAAATTCTCTGAGGAATTTGAATAAAATAATACAGAATACTTTGTTATGTATATATTATTCAAAATATAGGTACAACGCTGTGGGAAAAATTATGACGAAATAATTATTTGTTAATATTTTTCAATACGGCACATACAAGTTTACTTATTAATTTATTAATGCATTAATGAATAAAGCGGTTGAGTTGTTTTATTTATAGTTACACTTTGATTAATATTAATATCGATAGATGGCGTCTACACATGGGCGCAATCTATTAGTATTTTAATATATTTGATATTGATCTAGTAGAAAAACCTCTTTTCCTTTATTTTTATATTTCATAGAAAATCCTTTGATCCCTCTATTATTACTTAATAGAAAGTAAAGTAATACAGTTTTACTAAATTCACTTTGTTACATTTCTGTGAATTATAAATACGGTTTATTCATATCCTTACGCAAATATGGTAATCCAGCAGCGTCTTCTTTGTCCGGGTTAAATGATATACAATAGTATAATATATAATATCCAGAGCAATGTACCGCACAAAGCGGTGAAAGAATTTTTTAAACACACATCAATTCAGAGGACTCGATCTCTCTGTGGTATTAGTGTGTATAGGAAAATATACAAACCAGACTTACGTTTAATAAAATCGTACAAGAGCCGTGTTTGTACTTACATAATATAATATTATTTCCAAAACTCAGTACTTTATAAATACTATTTATTTTCTGTAGGCAACAATATCACTTTTTTTTTAATATCTGTATACTTGTGAACCCAGTCTCAGAAAATGATCAACAGAAGTTAACGTGATTAAAACTGATGTTTTGTAGCAAAATTTCTGTAACAATTATTGTTTACAGTAATTTTATTCCGATCTATTCATCCGCGTTATGTTTGATAGAGATCAAGCGTAACGTAGTTAAATTTGCATAAAGATTAACATAATTTACATGCATGCCAACTAATTTTCACGTCCATCTAAATCAAGTTGTAAGCACCCGTAGCGTACATATTTTATAGCAATCACCCTTAGCTTCATCTACGTATACATTTTTTTAAATGCTCTTCTAATATG